AGGCATCAATACATGAGTAGTATGAGTGAAAACTAAGTCAACCAGAAAAGTTTGCACCTATTGGAAGATAGTCCTTGTGCTTTGAATCAAGTTCTCGTTTTCATTCTACTTACTTTGCAAGGAAATACTCCAAATGGTGATAAAATAAACAGAAACTTCTCTCAATCCTATTTGATAGTATTTTTGTTGTTAAAGAGATAAGTGCAGCCCCCAAATGAAGTCATGTTAAGGTTCCATGTCAGTAAACCAAGATCTAATATCTATTCTAATTGCAGGTTCAATCCCCGGTTTGAAATCTTTAACCAGCCAAGCTGTAATTTTCTGGAAAACCCTAGGATGTAATATGCTGAACTTTCTATTCCCCTCAGGAAGGCAACTTTGCCTAAAACACTGCATTCTTTGCTAATAATTCTCCACAACCAGCCCTGTTTCAACCTTTTCTTTTCTATGGCTCTACAGAGCTCTCTGCTACTTACTAGATGGGATGCTGTCCAATCCCTGAGCCATTTAATAAATCCAATTAGATATCCAAATTTAATGAGCTGAATTTGTGTTGTTTAACAGTGTATATACCACTTGCTGGAGAATGTAACTGTATAAAATTAAGATTTAAAGTACTTTAAATTACGTATAATACTATCAGTTTGAACTGAGAATCCTTAAAACAACATTTTTGTATTCAAGTTCTTTCTTATAACTTTTTTCCCCCAATTACATGCCCTGGCTTGAAGGTCTTCTCTTCCTACGTGTGCTCTCTGAGCATTATAATGAATGGGTAGAATTTAATTGTGCTAATTCATTTCTCATTGTTCTTTGGTTTTGGAGGAGGTCTCAAAGGCCATAAAAGCTTAGAAAACACCCTTTATATTGATGTAGAGAACAAAGGTCATATTGGAGATTTTATGACCTTCATACTCAGATGGAGAACAAAGGCAAAAGAAACTTAGAACAAATTAAATTTCCTTACAACTTGCAGCCAAAGTACTTAGGACTGGCGGAGTGACTTTCTTCAAGAAACTCAACTGCCTCGATGTTAATATTTCGCTAAAAGCAAAGGCAAATAACTAATCAGGTTATCCTGACCTCCAGGATCGCTTGTCTCCTTTTACATTTAAAAATTCCTTTAGAAAGTTCCTTCATCTCTAACTCCCTAAGATACATGTTAATAATTATCCTCCAAGCATATGGCCCCCTGATATTCATCTGAAGGGTCTCATGACTAAGGTTTTACTACACAATAATAAATGACCTTTTCCTAGCAACAGCTAGCCCCCTCCAGGACCTGGAAACCTTCATTCCAAAATTCCTGAGAGACTTATGCTATCCCTAACCCCCACCCGGCTTGAAAGTATATAGTCAGCCACTCCTTCCCAGTGCAGCTCTTTCTGCCCACGGATCCTTTCTCCGTGCCCTAATAAAACCACCAAACTCCATGCCTTAATAAAACCACCATACTATTTTAAAAAACTGAGTAATCGACTCCTTAGTAACGTTAGAGTTTTAGCTTCACGTTTCCTTTTTTTTTTTTTTAGTTCCTTGATTGGCATTTAGTTTATCCTTTTGAAAACTTAAAATTAGATTACCTTTTCTCCCCCTTTGTTTTGTTCTTTATAAAGTGAATATCTAGAACTTTCCTTTTAGCTCAGGTCTTCGATCAAATGCTTCACAATTTTCTTGATTGTAACCTCAGGCAAGTTATTCAGCCTCCTCAATACCAAGTGTTGGAGGATGATTGTTCCTATTTCCTATAGTTATGAGGACTAAATGAAAAAAAAAAGCATGTAAATTACTCAGAACAGCATCTGTGCTCAATAAGTGTTAGCTACTTAATGATAATGTAGGGAGAGAATCTTACCAATTCAAGGGTCCTTGGGTGGCTCAGGTTAAACGTTTGACTTTGGCTCAGGTCAAGATCTCATGGTCTGTAGGTTCAAGCCCTGCATCGGGCTCTGTGCTGACAGCTCAGAGCCTGGAGACTGCTTCTGATTCTGTCTGTCTGTCTCTTTCTCTCTCTGCCCCTCCCCCACTTGTGCTCTGTCTGTCTCTTAAATAAATAAACATTAAAAAATTTTTAATTAAAATAAAAGAATTACCAATTTAACCAGATCTCGTCACCTAGGCCCCCTTCCTCTCCTGGACTTCTCACATAATGGTCCCCTGGGAAACCTGAGCTTTGGTGTTAGTCATGCTCAGTCTGAGGCACATCACAAATGATATGATTACCAATGTATTGAGTACCAAAGTTCACAAAGGGTTTACTTTAAGAAATCCACACATAAAATTCAAGATTATACCCATAAAAATGATTTTCTTTCCATTCCCTTTCATTGAATGTGGGCAAAAGAGTGAGCATACTCTTGAAACTGCTCATGTCCCACAGCAAATTCTATCTTGGATGTCATCTTGCGGCTGTCAACCCACTCAGGGGTCATTATGAAAAAGGAATGCTAACAGAGGTCATTTGAAAGGTTCTTATCAAACAAAATAAATTTACATAAAAAATAGAGGAAGAAAGGAAGAAAGAGAGAAGGAAGCAAGAAAAAGATTGGGGAGAGAAAAAGAAAAAAATGTTCTGAACCAAAATGTATTACTCTTCAGGGAAAAAACTCCAATACATTCGTTTTTTTCTTCTTTAAAATAACTACTGGAAATCAAGTATTTTAGAGATATACATTTACATTTGTTTCATTTCTAGCACTTTATTTTACATTAATTACCTATGCTCAGTGTTAAGTTCATGCAAAGATCTGAATAGTATAATCATAAATTTTTTGAAGATCTGTTGTTTTCCCTATTTAATATATTTACAAGAAAGTCTATTGTTATTATAGATGGCATTAGTTCTTAGAGATTATTCACCAAATATTCATGTATAATAATACATAGAATCCATATAAACCTACTATATAAAGATTGTTCACATAAAAAAGCTATTTGTTTCTATCCTGGTTAAAGGATAAAACTGTTAATAGTAATAGGTCATGTTTATGGATTATAAATATTTTTTACTGGTTTAAATGCCATATTGTTATTTTCTTAATTGCTCCCCCAATTTTGGTGGTTTTTTTGTTATTAATTTGTACATAAAAACGAGATTTTCCTGGGGCACCTGGGTGGCTCAGTTGGTTGAGCATCTGACTTCAGCTCAGGTCATGATCTCATGGTTTGTGGGTTCGAGCCCCGCGTCGAGCTCTGTACTGACAGCTCAGAGCCTGGAGCCTGTTGCGGATTCTGTGTCTCCCTCTCTCTCTGACCCTCCCCTTCTCACGCTGTCTCTCTCTCTCTCAGAAATAAATAAAACATTAAAAAAAATTTTTTTAAATAAGATTTTCCTGGTTCAACTTTAAATAAATACATTTGAAATCTGCAGAAGCCTTTTCATACTTTCAGTTAAATGTTGCTTTTAAGGTTCTCTTAGGGTCAGAAACCTATGCTCAGACAACTCACCCCAGGCAACAGAGTCTCGTGGAGACCAAGGCCCAAAGAAACAGCAAGATTCCTAGTGATACCATGAGCCAATGAAACTCCATTTAGCAAATTTAACATAAGTAAGATATAGAATAGCAGACTCCAAAGGCTAAATCCACCTAAAGAAAGAGGAAAAGTACCCAAGAAAGTTTAAACCTAAACAATATTCTGAATAATTGATGGACTTGCAACTGAATTTTTAAAAGGAAAGAAAATTTTTTCTAGAAGGTTTGGTGTCAGACTTTCATTTGAAAACTATTTTCTCCTAATAGTCACTATATAAGTTTAACAATCAATATTTCTAAGCCTTAATGTTCTCATCAGTGATAGTTTTTTCTTCATAAATTCATTGCAAGATAAAGAGATATAACATGAGAAGGACTTATCACAGTGTGTAGTGCACAGGAAGAAATCAACAAATGTGATCTGTTATGATTTTGAATTATGAGTTTGAACCAAATACCCATAATCTGAGAGAAGCAATTTAGACATTATAATATCCGATTCCTAACAATTAGCAGAGATTAAGGACTCAGTCTGAGCTTATTATTGCATTCCACCGCAGGAAAATAATCTTAGAGAAAGTTGTCCTATTTTTTACTCAGGTGTGGCAGTTTGAGACTTGAGAGTTCATTATAATGACTTTGATCAGAGCATTCAAACTAAAGTAGAAGAAATTACACACTGGAAGGAAGTGATTTTTATAAGTCATTTCCATTTATCATTCTCATTTATCATTCTCCATGTACAAAGGCTTGCACAAAAAATGAATTATTCTGTCATGTCAATAGTTTTACTTCTTACCTGGTCTTTTCAATATGAAGGTTCATGTCCCTAAGCATCAATTAGAAGAATATTGTTGTAAAGACAACTTAAATAGTCATTTTAAGTCAAAAGAGTGTAATTTGATTAGAAACATGGTATTATCAAAATCAGAGGATAAGAACATTGTTAGAAATCTTAATTACATTCCCATGAACAAATTGTTTAGAAAGATTAGTCTCATGTCTTATGACTGGGAAAATTGTGTGGTCTTATTACCAGTATTAACTTACAAGCAAAATACAAAGGCACATGTGATTCTATAACTGCCAGTATGAGGAAGGTTTATCTGGAGATTAATCTCACCAATGTGAATAAGAAGCATTATGATCATGATAATTATTGTTCCAAGACTGAGAACAAATAGTTGAATAAAACATAAGTAATGAGATAAAAACGTAAACATATATCATGACCAAGGAGCTCTCTGTGTACATTCCTCTATTTCATTAAATTGAGTTACTGTGCATATTCAGATGTCTGTTTACTATATACATGAGAAGATTAAAGAGTTTTTTCAGATCTTGACAACTTGATTGTCTCATAAAATTTCCATTTCTTCATCCTCTTTCCTCATTTTTAAAATCCTGTTTTAACTCTACAATATTGACCATTCACTTCTATCTTCATAGGACAGTTTACAATCAACATAGTAGCTATGCTTATTCTCTCTGAATAACAGTACAACTCGGTCTTCATTTATATCCCAGGAGATAAAACACCTACTTTTGAATTTGGGGACAACTACTTAACATACCCAGAGGAGATGATGAACGAATTAACAATCCTGTTAACAATCCTCGCCAATGAACTCACACATTTATGGTCAATTAACTTATGACAAAGAAGCCAAGAATATTCAATGGAGAAAAGACAACCTCTTCCATAAGTGGTGTTGGGAAAACTGGACAGGGAGAAGAATGAAACTTGATCACTTACACCATACACAAAAACTAACTGAAAATGGTTTAAAGACTTTATAATAAGACTCAAAACCATACAACTCCTAGAATAAAACATAAACATAAATGGTAAGCAACTTGACCTCAGTCTTGGTGATGATTTTTTAGATTTGACTCTAAAGGGAAATGTAACAAAAGAAAAATAAACAAGCATAACTATATCAAACTAAAAAGCTTCTACATAACAAAGGAAACCACCAGCACATGAAATAACAACCTACCTAATGGGAAAAAATATTGGTAAATCATACATCTGATAAGAGATCATTATCCAAAATATATAAAAACTCCTATAACTCAAGAGCAAACAAAACAAAATCAAATAAAACAAAACCACTTGATTGAAAAAATGGCCAGAGGATATGAATAGATATTTTTCCAAAGAAAATACACAAATGGCCAACAGTACAAAAAAGGTGGTCAATATCACGAATTATCAGGGAAATGGAAATCAAAGCTACAATGAGATATCACCTGACACCTGTTAGAATGATTATTATCAAAAAGACAAGGCATAACAACTGTTGGCAAGGATATGGATAAAAAGGGAACCCTTGGACACTGTTGGTGGTAACGTAACTTTGTATAGTCACTATGGAAAACAGTAAAGCAATTCCTCAAAAAATTAAAAATAGAACTACTATGTCATCCAGTAATTCTACTTTTGGGTTATACCTAAAGGAAACAAAACCACTGTTTTGAAGAGATAATCTTCATCCTCATGTTCATTTTAGCTTTATTTACAATAGCCAAGACATGGAAACGACCTAGGTGTCCATCAATGGATGAATGAATAAAAAAAACTGTGGCATATGTATCTGCAATAAAATATTATTCAGTCATTAAAACAAGTGAATCCTGTTATTTATGATAATGTGTATGGATCTTAAGGGCATATGCTAAGTGAAATAGTCAGAGAAAGACAAATACTGTATGATCTCATTTATATATGGAATATGAAAAAAAACACCTCAACTCATTGTTACAGAGAACAGATTGGTGATTGCCAGAGGTGGGGGGTTGGAGGGTGGTGAAATGGGTGAAGAAGGTCAGAAGGAACAAAGTTCCAATTACAAAATAAATTAAGTCCTGGAGATATAATATACAGCATAGTAACTATAGTTAATACTGTATTATATATTTGAAAGCTGTTAGAAGAGTAGATCTTAAAAGTTCTTACCGTAGGAAAACATAATTTATGTATGGTGACAAGTGTTAACTAGACTTATTGTGCTGATCATTTTGTAATGTACATATATAGAGAGAATCACTATGTTGTACACCTGACACTAATATGTTATATGTCAATTAAACCTCCATTAAAAAAAAAGAAACCATCTTAATCTCTTTTTCATGCCTCTTAACACGCCTAACCAATTATCCATTAGCTTTTACTAATTGCACAGCTAACACAGCTAACACAAATTGAGTGTTTTCCAGCTCCTAGACACTTTTGTAAAATCCTTGTATTGTTAACTAATTTAGCCCTTGCAGTAGCCCTGTTAGAGATGATGTAAATAAGTGCAGGTATAAAAAGAATTAATTACTTCTCCATAGTCACACACTTGTAAGCAGAAATTGTTTATCAAAAGCCTTCTTTCCTAATTGCTTTACTACATTGTCTCATCTGCGTTATTCTTCTCCACGTATAAGTTACTTCACTTACACATGCTCTTATCACATCTTTCCTGGAGCCACGCAGAAGTCTGTAACCTAACACTGTTTCACTCTAGGCCCACATCTGTCTAGATATTTTATATAAGATGCAATCTATACATTCCTTTGAACTGTTCCCAGTTGTTCAGTAGATAAAAACCAAATGATTAGCATGAATACAAGAGGCTCTGAAAATATTTATTGGATTAATTCATTTTTGCAATCCTGATATCTCCACGGCTCTTTCACATGCATCTTATACTTCCAGCCTTCATAAATAATGAATTGTCAATAATACCCAGCACGACATTGGACACAGTTAGCTTCCCCACACTTATTTTGCAGGAAAATTAATATTCACTGTTTGTTTAAATTTTTCCTTGTACATCACCTCAACTCTAGTTTCTCAGAATGTCACGATCTTCTGTCAACGTATGTTTTTAAACACCCACACACACATTGTAGGAAACAATCTCTTCCAATTTTTTCCACACACCACTGAAGTTTCTAGGTAATTTCTGTTTTCAGTGCAATATCTAAATGGGAATTCAGTCCTATTATTAAGCTAAAATATTTGTTGCTAGATATTACCCATAAAAGAATTTAGTTGGTATCTTTGAGTCCATAAAATTAGAAAACAACACACAACAGGTACAAAGCATATTGTTACTTGTCTTCCTTCCTGCTCTCAAGTGATACTAATAGATAGTTATCAATATGTAGGATTGAAAAATAATAGCCACGGGAAAGTAAAGAGGTGACACAAAGCTCTGCTCTAATTCAGAAAACAATTTAAAAAATTACATACCCAAAGCTTTACTATAGTAGGAATCCCATGATTTCCAAAGAGTGTCAAACATGTAGTCCTGTAGACTGTAGGAGATGAAATTTCTTACTCTGTCAGTGAACGACATCTGGTCCGTGAGTTCTGATAAAGTAGCAGGAACATAGGAAGGAGGGTATGGTACCTTCCCACAATGTTTTTCCACTGTTGAGGCTGGAGAAAACCTGAGGGAGTACATAAATGGAATTTCCAGCTTTAAAGCTACTATATCACCACAAGGAAATACTGGATCTGATATCAGGACCTCAAATTTGCTTCTCTTCAGCTTGTCCATCAGCTTTTGGTTTTTGAGAACACCGTCACAGATTTCTCTAGATACCATGTGGAATTCCTTGATGACTTTGGCTATCTCTTGATAGAATCTCCAAATGGTTGAAGGATATGGCCTCTTGTCCATCCATGTCAAAACAAAGTCCTTGATCAATCCTTCTATTCTTTCTTTGCCAAAGGGCACCTGATATATTTCAAATGTCAGAGATGGGGTAGAGGTTGGCGTGATGAAAAGTGCACCAGAGGCAACTAAGACAGTCACATTATGCTCTTTTTTAATCAACTCATCTATAATTATCTTAATGTTCAGCCAATGACTACCTTCCATGGGCCAAATCAGAACATTCCCACCAAGAGTGATTCCTAGGAGACTAATCTGGAGGGACAACAGCAGAATGTTCTTGTTTAACATGATGTAGCTTGATGTAGAAGATTTGATGAGTTATGACATAAAATTCTCTGTTTTCAAGAAAAAAAGAAAGAAAAATTATTTCAGTTTTGATTCAAAACAATTGATACTGTTAAGAGCCTTCTCTCTACCACATGATTTTACTCGTGGCAGCACCCTATTTTATGATAATTATAGGCTTTTTTATGATAATTATCAGCTAACACGTATCTTACCTCTCAACCTGTTGTTTTAGCTTGGGAATGATTCCTGCTGTCTGATCATTTTCTTAAACTTGATCCATCAACCTTTTCATTGCAACTCATAATTGTGAAATTCTTACGGTTAAATGGCTTGAAGCTGTTGTGTACCTCAACTCTACACTCAGGCCTAGGTATTGAAGTCTCAGATTGGAGCAGAACTTATTCAGAAATGTGGAGATGCTAAGGCCATAGGTTTTCCAATATTTAATATATTTAATATAGTGTCAATAGCAACAACTAAACATCATTATAGTAGTTACTGGTTATTAATAGATAATATTATTACAAAGGAATACTTACAAAAATGTGAAGTACGAGCAAATAGAGTAAGTATGTTTATTGCTACTTTAATAGTATGTTTAGGAAAATATTTTATGTTAACATGGAGAAAAAATTATGAGTAAATAAATGAACTGTGTACAAGTATACATGCAAGAGACGATGGGTAACATTACGAGTCAACAGGAATTCTTTGAAGAGAAATGCTAATTCAAGCATCCTTTATGGAAAGTGCTGCTAGAAAGCTAGCTGGTCAGTGTGAATAACAAATAATTTACATCTAGAGTCAACCTTTCATAATTGCTAGCATTAATTAAACACTCACTGTGTGTCAGACATTGTGTAAAGTGTTTTACGTATGTTAATCTCATTTATTTCTCACTACAAAAAGATTCAGTCAAGTAGATCCTACATTCTCATCAGAGAGGGAAGAACCATTGCTCAGAGAAGTTTAATAATTTGCCAAGTTCATATAGTAGAATAAAAAAAGAACTGGTAGTAGCAGCCTTCAGGCTCTTTGACTTTCCAGAGTCCATTGTATTAACCACTAAGATCGATTGCCCTATCAGCGGTTATCATGTCCCCTTATCAAGTATGAGCAACCTATCCATATAAACCATAAAGTGCCCAAAACGTGCTGACACAATATAAAACACACAATATAAATGTGTGTAACCCATACTCGATAGTGTAGGAAAATCATCTGACTACAATTATCTCTATGAAAAGTGTGTGTGTGTATGCATGTGTCTGTGAATAAGTAGAAATGACTTATTTTTGTTTTAATAAATCTATTGAAATTAGAAATTCTATACTTTTTAGTGATGTCTTTGCTGAGCTCCCCCGTACCAGAGGTAATCTATACTGAGGCATTTGCTGCTTCTATAAAACAGTTACTAACTTTTCCAAAGTACTATTCAGAGTTTGGAAGATTTCAATTCCAACTCTGCATACTAGGATTTTACGGTATGCACAAAATCTCTGTCTGCTGGTGTCTACCTGATCCGTAGTTAATTGCCAGGATACCTTAGAATAGTTGTCGTGATTCACTAGAATGAGCAACTAACTGGTCACAACTCACTGATATTCACTCTCAGGGAATCAGATTCAGTTTTAAACAATTAAACTATAGTCTTTATTAAGTTTATTTGTGTTTATTGTGTGGCTACTAGACAGAGAACTCCCTGCTAAGTGAA